CTTAAATTGATCATTGCAATGCGATGCAGACGAATTGCTACCTGATCGAGTTAAAACTAGGGGTCTGGCTGGCTCATCTTTAATTTCTTGTTCCCGGTATAACATCGCTTGCCCTTCTTGTTGATGAAGCGAGTCGTGAGAATCTGCTTCGGCTTGGCCTTCTTATCCAGTTTGCCGATCCAAAGGCCCGATACAGCCGCTGCATTTGAAAAAGCAATCTGAGGTTTCGCAGATATAGCACCATAGGTCCCCATAGACCAACTGATTCGAAAGACCTGCAACCGCATCACCGAAACAGCCGCTAAAAAAATATATACACAAGTAGGAGCCTAATTGGTCTTGCATCAGACGTTTTACAGGAAGTCACATGCACTGGAAGGTTCCATCGCTATATGCTTTAGGGTTTATAGGGTTTGGGGTTTATAGGGTTTATATATATATATAGGGCTTATAGGGTTTATAGGGTTTATAGGGTTTATAGGGTTTATATATATATACATATATATATATATAGATAGATAGATATAGGGTTTATAGTTTATAGGGCTTATAGGGTTTATAGGGTTATAGGGTTTATATATATATATATATAGGGTTTATAGGGTAACAGGCGACGAAAGTTCAGGCAATCTGGCTGTCGTGGCGAAAAGAGACAGTACCACAACACGGGTGACATAGTAGTAGTATAGTAGTGTAGTAGTATAGTAGTAGTATAGTAGTAGTAGTAGTAGTCTAGTAGTATATATAGTAGTTATCTAAGGTTTGCCTCTGTGCTGCCGCGCCTCGCCGATCTGCCGGAAAGCCTGGACCAGATCTTCATACCAGGACATGTACGAGCCAGCTGGCTGCTCCAGCAACCAGGCACCATTCATAGCTGTGATCAGCAGGAGTAGGAGGCAGCACCTGCATGCATGGATTGTTGGCAAGACTATAAAGACTTGATTGGTGTGGCTTGCATACATGCACAGCAGATGCAAACAAGGAGCCTCGAGCAAAGAAGGTTCCCTAGTCTCACAGACGGAACACTCGTATCCCCTTCTGGCCATAATGCACATCGTTTGTGCACGGCCACATTCATCCCTGAAAAGGAACTGCAGACCGGGGCCAAAATCGCAAGAAACTCATCCGATTTCCCATTCAGAACCGTCGCAATAGCTAGCCTCAGGATCGATGACTTCGCATGACGACTGCATGGCACTCTACATCGACAAATCAGCCGAGGCTCGCCATGCCGCTTGGGGTCCCCAGATCCATAGGATTTTGTTTTCCAGGGCATTCTTCCCCCAGTAAGATATCTAAACTGGCTACCCGATGCCCTGCCGATCGCAACGACCGGGACACCATAGCATCTCCGCAGAAGAATTCGACAGCCGTGTAGTCCTTTAGTGGGTTTGAAGAGAAGCACCCTTTGATTTCAGGATTTGCAGGTTTAGGAGTTTGCTTCGGGTCGTTCCTTTCAACATTTTAATGGTCTATAAAGTTTGGGAGCATTCAAGGTTTGCTTTTGTTTTTGTTCAGTGCCTTGTCTGTCGCTGGCGCTCCAGAGCCGATGTTGGGTATAGGCTAGGGCCTGGGTATGGGCTTTTATAGGGCTTTCATGCTTTTTTTTATTGGCCTGCTAAAGACCCCGAAGTGGTCCTGTAAAGCTTGCCCACAGTCCCCATTGCAAGACCTGGCAAGGATTAAGCCCAACTAATTAAAACCTCAAGCCCTATATATGTAATATGTATATATATATATATCCATAACCCAGAACCCAAAACTCTAAACCCAAACCCCTATATAGTAAAGCTATAAACCCCAAACACAGAACCCAAAACCCCATAGCCTTTCTGTTGAACCGAAGAACCCTATGAGGTTTCATGTGGGTCGTTCTCTAACACAATTATAGGGTACTTCTAGACTTATTGGGTCCTTTTTATAAGGCTGCCGTACTACGTTGGGGAAATCAAAAGGACCCTAGTTTAGATACCCATGTACCTATATAGTAGACATACATGGTTCCTCAATGCATCGCTGAAAGCATCAAGAGTTGAGTGGCTCGATGGTTCGGGATTGCACACAGTTCCGGATTTTCAGGATTTGCGTGGCTTTGAGGATGTTATCCGAAATTTTGGAGGATCCATGCATACACAGGAGCGATAGGATTCGGACTTAGGGGTTTGCATGTAGGGTTTGACACACTCATATAAGTATTGTACTATTACAAGAGTTTAATCCATTGTGTCTTGGAAGTTGGGGACCTGTCTACCTTCTGGGCTGAGGTCATTGAAGGCTTAAAACCCGCTAGAGCTATATCTCCTCCTTATAATTCTGTATGTAGCAAAGAGATCGAAATTTTAACAAATGAATCAACCTCTCCCGAACCTAAAGCTCAGATCTTATTTACCTACTCTTTTCACACGCAGATCCTATACACAATTATTGAAGTGAAGACTGTTGCGAGCATCCGATATCTCAGATTCTCAGATTAGGGTCTATATCTTGACACTTTTTTGGACCCAATAAGGCTGGTTCCAGGCACCTGCTTAGAGTTACCACAGGCTCTTATTGAAATTCCAAATACCTGAACTCCGGCATCTTGTTTATACACCCGCCAGAAACCAGATAAACAAGGTTGTGAACAGCTCCGGAGGGCACCCTGGAGATACAGTCCTACGATGTCGAGTTCATGGGAGAATGCGATAGGACATCCTGGGAGACTGCATTTCTAGCCCAACCTTACCGAGCCCCCAACACAAGACTAGTCCCGGCTAGTGAGAGCATATACTATTTTTGGGTACAGAAAGCAAGGAATGCACTGTTGGTGTCCAAGGGCTTATTCGAGTTGCTTACAATTTGGTTAACTAGTCAAATGCTAGCTAGAGACCGACTATGTAAGGCCCATGCAGTGTATGATACCCCCAAATCCAAGTCTCAACACAGAACCTCCCGATCAACCCGCCAACTAACGCTATTTATTTTTATATACATATTTAGCAAAGGAAACACCAGCTGGCCTCAGCAAAGACTCTCACGTTCTCACTGAACGTTAAGAGGATGACGGCGGTGATGAGCACCTTTGCAGGGGCTTGTGAATCAAATAGTTGGTGGACCGGCGTTTACATGTGTGCTTTGGGAGCAGTAACTATACCTGGCCTTGGGACATTGCTTGGAAATCAGTTTCCTCACCACGGCACGGAGCTTCTTTTCACGGAGCGCCCATGTATCCATACTCACAGAGCAGCACTGAGAATCTTTGCATTCGTAATGCTTCGGATCACTCTACATTCCCCTTATGCAGGCACAATACTGGTGTGTGGTCAGCCAGGCAGCAAGCAAGTTGCTTAAGCTGAGAACAGGTCTAGCTGTTTCAACAGTACAGGGCTGAAGCCATACCAAGCTTGAGCAAGGACATGCAGGAGCCCTGCATCTAGCACAACAACTGTACTGCACTCTCTACCAAGCAGAGTTCACGACTACAAGCCAAGGCAGGCCGGCCATCGTCGTCTTCGATGAGGCGCCTTCTCCAGCCGTTTCCCCGCACCATTCTGACCTGGGACGAAGGTATGGATATGTTCTGATCTGTATGTCAGCTGCTGTAGTGAGTGCAACACAAGTTCATCGAAGCTCTTGCCGACACATTCATCGAAAACAAGAGTTTTCTCTGCGCCCACACACCCCGGACGGTGGCACTCCTTGCCTGCAGGCAATCCTGCAGCTGATCACAACAGCACGGCGTCCTCTCCAGCTGGTGAGATGTACAGCTATATAATGTAGGCCAGGCAGGAGCCGAGAACATCTTCTAGCCACATGCATGCACCATTTAGACAGATGTAGCTTTAGAGCGAGGACTCCAGCCGTGTGTCATCAATACTAGCACTAGCACTCCAGAAATTAAAGGGCACAGCACTGTGCCTTGCAGCTGTCAAAAGTCGAATCAGACTAAATCGGGGTCAGCCTCATGATCCGAACTAGGGCACACCAAGACGACCTCAGGGTATGTATGTGTGGAGGTTCCTACCTAATCTATAAGCACGGTTTCTTTGTTATGTACTCGGGTGTGTACAGTCACCAGTGCGGCCGAAGATCAAGAAGCCCCCGACAGGGATTCATACGAAGGGCATTCATCGATCCTATCTACAGCGAGTCCCTCACAAACAGTTTGGCAGCCTTCACTGCAAGTTCAGGGAGGGTCGCCTCAGTGATCTCCTTGTCAGAAAAGTATTCGGCACAGAAGTTCCAAAATGGCTCCTGCGGCAGCGGGGTTATGCTTTCAGGTGCAGATGGAGCTTCAGGATCGAACGAAACGTTGCATATGGGTAATGTAGTTAGGGTATATATATATATAGATAGATAGATAGTTGGTTTGCATATATAGGGTCTATAAAGGGTTTATATAGGATTTGTAGGGTTTGGCTGAAACTTCAACATAAAATCCTGAAACTTTCTGTTCATCACCATCATGATGGTGAATGTATGTCGGTGACATGTCTGTGTGTAAAGACATTTATATATCTATACATGCACACACATGCTAAGTTTCGTTGTATACATGTCTGTACACAAAATATGTGTGTGCATATATACATATGTATGAATATACTTATGTATATATGTATATACATCTGTGCGTGTTTGTTGTTGTCGGAATACATATACATGGATACATACAGGTATATGTACATTTGTATGTACATATCTATATATGTATATATATATATCAGAGAGAGGTAGAGATATCTGTGTATATACTTATAAGTATGTGTGTACAAATATCAGTCTATTGTATGCATTGATATGGATGTAGATAGGTCTGCACACATGTCAGAGTAGATAATCATGATACACACACATACATATATATATATATTACACATAGGTATATGTGTACATATAGGAGCGATACATAGAGAGAGAGAGAGAGAGACAGCAACAAATACAACGAAGTCTGTCTCAACCTAACAAAGGCAAACATAAAACTGAAACCCCATCACAATGATACAATCGCTATTAGCATCACCGGCCCAACTAAGCACTCCTCCTGCGCCGTCTTGGCACCACTGTCCAGCTCCGGAACCACAAAGCGCTCGAAGCTCTTGCGGATGAACAACCACTTGGCTGCAGAGAGGAACGGGTTCGGCTTGCGGCGCCTGGCAAAGGTCTGGGTGGCCGGCACATACTCGTCCATGATCATTGCCTGCACATCTGGGTCCATGCGGCCCCTCTTCTTGGGCTTCACATCTGGGTCCTGAGGAGCCTTCGCCGTGCGGCCCATCTTCTTGGGCTTCACATCTGGGTCCTCAGGAGCCTTCGCCATGCAGCCCCTCTTCTTGGGATTCACATCTGGGTCCTCAGGAGCCAGCGCCTTGCGGCCCCTCTTCTTGGGATTCACATCTGCAGGGTCCTCAAGAGCCTGCGCCTTGCGGCCCCTCTTCTTGGGAGGCACCTCCACCAAAGGCTCCTTCCCCTTTGCTTTGGTGACCTTCGGCACCTCGGCTCCGGAACCCTTGGCTGGCCCTTGCTTCGGCTGCTTTCGCTTCTTTTTTGGCCACGGGCTCATCAGTCTCAGCGTCCTGGGGCTCACCCTCGGGCTCCTCCTCGGAATGCTGCTCCGCCAGCTTGATGGCAAGGTCATCCGGGAAAGTATCATAGAACTCGCTCTCGGCATCGTCCTTAACCTTCTTTGCAATCTTGGCAGCAGGCTTCTTAAGAACGGCACGCTTCTTGGGAGCCGCTTTCGGCTCGGACTTGGGTGCAGCCTTGCGCTTCTTTGGCTTGCTAGCACTTGCACTCTTGCTCGGCTCCATGTCCTCTTCCTCGTCCTTGGCATCCCCCATGTCACTGGCTTCCTTGTCCATGGCTTCCTCCTCGTTGCAATCCACCATGTCGCTGGCTTCCTCGTCGTTGGCCCCCCCCATGTCGCTGGCTTCCTTGTCCATGGCTTCCTTGTCGTTGGGCCCCCCCATGTCGCTGGCTTCCTCGTCCATGGCTTCCTTGTCGTTGGGCCCACCCATGTCGCTGGCTTCCTTGGAGATGGCTTCCTCGTCGCTGGGCCCACCCATGTCGCTGGCGGTCGCTCGGCGCCCACGACCACGGCCACCAGCACGACCACCACGACCACCTCGGCTTTTGCCCTTTCCTTTCGCGTTCTCATCAACCTTTGCTTGCTTCCCAGCCAACTGGTCACGGCGGGTCACCTACAGGCGGTGACTGGGCATACAACCAAGAACATAAAGAAACACAAACAACGATATGCACATATAGTTATAGGAAATTTTGCTTTATCTTTATAATATAACTGATAGATACATAATATATATATTATGTATGTATGTATGTATGTATGTATGTATGTATGTATGTATGTATGTATGTATGTATGTATGTTTGTTTGTATATATGTATATATATATATGTATGTATGTATGTATGTATGTATGTATGTATAATACATATATATATATATGTATAGAGGTATTCACTTACCTTTTCTATTGTTTCATAAGTCTGGATCCATTGTCTATACCTATCGATCGATCGATCGATCTATCTATCTATATACATCTATCCAGCTATCTGTCTATCTATCTATCTGTCTATTTATCTGTCTATCTATCGATATATCTATTTCTACATATATATATACATATATATATATATCCACCTTTATTTACATATATACCTATATAAGTGTATCTATATACACATATATATATATAGAGAGATGCATATTAAGTACATATATATGTGTGTATATATATATACATATATGTTTCATTTGTAGATATATATGTTTCAATCTATCTAGTTAGTTACCTAAGTATCTATCGGGTTACCTATCGGATTTTATGAATATCTCTCTCACCCTCCACATAGCACGAGATGTCAGAAACTGTTTTCTGTACTTTCAAACCGAGTCACAAGTGGTGGCTCTTGCTCCTCATCCGAATCCACAGGCACCGTCTTCATCTTATCAGCAATGGCATCCATATCATCTCCTGGCATGACCTGCGTGTCATCTTCTGGCAACGGGAAAGGAACCACCACGCCACAAGAGTTGCCGCTGCTGCCTCACAAAAGCCAAGACTAGGACACCAAACTAAACCCATGCAAAACATGTAACAACAGCCTAGGCCTATGCATCGTTCACAAAAGCTGTGCCTGCAGTGTCCTCCTCAGCACAAGTGCGCTTGAAGATGTCCTCAGCTCGCCTGGCGAGCTGAGCCTCCTTGGCCAACTTCCTGCACCAGCAGCACAATAACGAAATCCACAGATAATGAAATAGATGGTTTAATAAGTATAAAAAATAGTTGAAATCTTATTTATATGCAAATCTGTATGTGTGTATATATATATAGAGTTCCATACATATTCACAAAACAATGAAATGTATATGCATGTGTTTGTCTTCATATGTATATACCTATGTGTGTGTGTGTCTCGAAACCAAAATACATGTACATGTGCCTGTACATGTCCATGTGTATATATATATATAATCACACATATGTATGTGTTCATACATAAAGAACTGCATGTTGCTTAGAGAACTCCCTGGATCATGGCACTCAATCCTGGCACGTCGCTGAACCTTCAGAGCATTGAGCTGCTGCTTCAGCTGAGCAATCTTGCACAGGACCTTGGGCACCTCGCAGTATCCACAGGTCACCGAGTCATCCTCCACATCGATGAAGACCGGCTCCTTCTTCCGTTTCAGCTCGGGAGCCGCATCCGAGCTCGAGGAAGCGCTGGGCTCTTCACCTGGCACCTCACAGTGCTTATCATCTTCTCTTGTAGCCACCTCATCCTGCTTCGAGTTCGCTTCGGCCGCTGCCGCATCAAAGAACCCAAACGGGTCCTCGCAGGACTCCTCAAGATCCTGCACACTGTCGTCCATATCATCATCTCCAGCGACAGAGCCAGCTGCAGAGGCTCCAGACTCACTTGAGTCCCCTCTGAAGTCGTACTCCTGATCCTCGTCCTCATCAAGATCCACGACCACCGTCTCCGCAGGAGAAGCCGGTACCAAAGCCGAGTCCTCGGGTGCAGCCTCCGGCACAGCCTGACAGGCTGACTCTATCACATTGGAAAAATTTAAGAATCGATACATGGCCTCTATATAAGCACAACCCCACAACACTCAAAACATTGCCAGCAACTCGTGTGAGTAGCTGGGGGCCGCATAATCAGATCCATCAGATCACGGAAAGCAGCGTTCTTCGGAGCTTTGCCGGTTTCACGAAGTTTTCGAACCTTCAGCTTCACCAGGCTGCACATTTGCTTGCAACACCAAGCATCTTTCTTTGGTGAGTCCGCAAACTTGGCAGGAACATTGCCAGCTCCAAAGATCAGAACTGCAAGCTTCCCCAACCTGGAATGCACGCAAGGAGAATGAAACTCTTGGCGCTATACAAGCTCCGAACTCAAGCAAAACAGCGAAAGGATTCCACAGGATTTCTTAATCAAGACGAAAGTCTGCTTCTCGCAAGCAGGAACACTGAACAGCCTCACAGATCCTTTCGCATCACGTGGAGCCTTGTCCATGCACTCAAGCAGCGGCTTCAGCACAGGTGCTGCATGCGCAGCCTCCTTCACCGTGATCTTGGGCACTCTTCCGGGGCACGAGGGGTCCAAGGAGAAAAAAACGTGTCCATGCTCCCTGTAGGTGGCACGGATCTCATCCACCTTCTCCCATTTATGTGCAATCCCACTAATGCACGTCATGGCCACTGACCCGCACGACCCGAGGGGTCTACTCCTACAACGGATCGATCAAGAAAAAAGCCTTGATAGAATACGGAGCAATTCAATCACAGCCCATCACATCTCTTGCAGGAAGATAGCTGCAACACCAAAAAGATACTATATATGTCATTATACAGGCATGCAGTATATACAGTTATACAAACATACATATATATATATGAAGCAAGATAGATGTACACAAAGTCTGTATGTATATATGTTGGAAACGATATAAAAACGGTGCATGTCGACAGACACCTATATACAGAAATATATGTAGGCACACTACAATTCTGCAGTGGCATACAGAAATCTATGTATCCTATATGTATACACACAAATACACCTATATCTGTTCATAGCTACCTAACAACACATGCACATGAACATGTATATGTGAAGAGGTGCCTACATGTGCATACGCACACACACACACACATATATATATATATAGATGTATGATGTATGTGTATATATATATGTATGTATAGAGTTGAAGGTATGTGTATGTATATATGTATGTATGTATATATATATATGATATACAAGAATACAACAATAGACAAAGAAACCCTAAACTTAGATTCCGAAATGCGACAGAGTCATTCACATATTCATGCATGACATTGACCTAATCCAGTTCAAACAATGAATTATCCAGGCAACCAGTCAATCATCCAGATCGAACATTCTTTCATACGCATACACAGACATGCATACCTGTATATATATATATATATGTATAGAGACACTATCATAACCTCACTCTTGCCCGCACACCGGCATGCACATGCACACGCACATAAACCAGCATTCTTACCAAAATACATGTACAATTCATACAGGCAGCCAAACAAATCAAGTCAGTAAACATGTACATACATGTATATATATATATATATGCATACATGCACACATGCATGCACACTCACATGCACATATGCCTGCATGCCCATATATTGCATGACATTGTGATATACAGACATATATATATATATAATGCAACATAAATAGAAACCTAAACTATACATTTGTATATATATATATACTATAGACGGGCACATACATACGTACATGCATGCAATCTTGTATAAATACATGTCAGCATAGAAGCTTATACGCATATACATGTCCGTACACATGCATGTATACGATACAGATACATATACATGTACACATATCTGTGCATCACACTCGCTAGAAAGCTCAGCATTTCAGATGGGCTGAGCATCCGGCCAGAAGTTCAAGCGTCGAGCGAGAAGTCCACGGCCCAAAAGAAGCGCAGCGATCGTCGGCATTAAGATATCAGGGAAACTTCAGATGGGCTTTGCATTTACCGCCCTTGTCAGTCTTTTGTTCATGACCCTTGAGCCCTGAACCTGTTGTACTTGGCCCTCTTTAGCTACCAACTTCGCCGAACAGAAACCCATTGCTGGCTTCGAGCCATTGCCTTCCAGGAAATCATGGTTTTTCTGGAAAACCAGGTTTTGCAGATCGGAAACGAGTTCTTCCACAAGAGATTGTCTTATTTCGCTGACCCATAAATCGGTCGGTTCTCCCGGGCCTAGGTAGGGTTTAGGCCTAAACCCTTGGGGTTTTAGGCAAGGGTTTAGGCAAAGCCTCAAGGGTTTAGGGTTTAGGACTTAGGGTTTAGATTTAGGCAGAGCCTCAAGGGTTTAGCCTAAACCCTAGGGGTTTAGGCCTAAGGTTAAGTACTTAGGCCTAGACGGAGCCTGGGCCTAAACTTCGAAACCTAAGTCCGAAACCTAAGCCCGAAAGCTAAGTCCGAAAGCTAAATCCGAGACCTAAGTCCGAAAGCTAATTCCGAATTCCGCAACGTTATTCCGAAGTTTACAATAAAGTGCATTGTGTGATACCAGGAACGGTAACCAGCACATGCCAATTTTAGGGTTTTGCGCTTTGACTGGGTTCATAATACAGTATGTTGCCAATTTTAGGGTTTAGCGTGCACATTGACTAGCATTGTTTAGAATAAAGTATATTGTGTGATACCAGGAACGGTAACCAGCACATGCGAATTTTAGGGTTTAGCCTGCACATTGAATGCATTGTTTACAATAAAGTATATTGTGTGCTTTCAGGACTGCAACTATAAGACAGTCCAGACGACAGCATGAAGTCATGTAATGGTGAATGAAGTCCAACTGTACATGGAACTCATTCGAGAGAATGCGCTTTTGTTATTTTTCCAATGTTATGGGATTCTAAGGGTGTGTGGGTGTTATGTCTAAAGCGTGAATGTAATCTTACTATAAGACTACTCGCTCCGGAGCTGCTGAACCCTAAACCCTAAACCCTAAACCCCTAAACCGTTGCTGTTCTACCTATACCACCCGTCCCCCCAAGAAAAACGCAGAAATTTAAACTCCTGCCTGAATCTAAGGCTCCATGTACCTATAGAGTCTATACTTCTCAGCCTTAGAGAGAGTACCTCTATATAGGGGCTCCTTAGGAGCCTTCAAGGGGTTCCTTTTTAATTCTATCATTCCCTGGAAGCCATATACGTCTATGGGTAGTTCTCTAAATTGGGGGGGTCCCTTGTTCTAAGGGTGCCGACCTATGTTGGGGACCTAAAAGGGGGACCCTAATTGAGGGAACTAACCCCATGGAACAGAAGGCAATCGCCCTACATAAACCCTAGACCCTTAAACCCTAAACCCTAAACCCCTAAACCCTAAACCCCCGATGCTCAGGCTGCCGTGGTCTTATCGCAGCAGCCCCGGCAGGCTCAAACTGGAGTTTTTTCGGGTCATCGCCTTCTCTTCGGGGGTTGTGAGGACACGGTTTAGGGTTTAGGGTTTAGGGTTGGGGTTTAGGGATTAGGGTTTAGGGTTGAAGGACTGAGTGTGTGTAGTTCTGGTGTCTTTTGGCTTTGGTGCTTTTGGTTTTGGGGAGTTGGAGGGGGCTTAGGGCGGCCGGAGGTCAGGGATTACAGGGTTTCGGTATAAACCCTAAACCAGAAACCCGAAACCCTTGCTATGTGTTTGGAGTTGGTCTATGGGTTGTTGCAGTCTTTGTCGGGCTCAATGGGTTTCGGCCTCTGAGCTCAAGAGTCAGGCTCGTTCAATGCAAAGGTTTCGGGTGGGCCACAGGACTTTTGTGCATGTGTCTCTATAGTAAATATAAACAGTAAACAAATAGACAAATAAATAAACAAATGAATAAATACATCAATAAATATAAATAGATATAGATATAAATATAAATACATATATATGTATATATATATATATATATATATGAATTGGTGCTTGCGCTACTGGATCCAAGTCCCCCGCGCCTTTGGGGTTTGGCACGGTTTGGATTTGCGTGTGAAAGTTCTGAACGGAAAATTGAGGGGGAGGGGGCGGGGAGCCACATCCAGTAAACAAGCCCTAGGCCTTGATCCCTGAAACCAGACATCTTAAAAAATCCCTAAACCCTGAACCCGAAACCCTAAACCCCTAAACCCTAAGCGTTAAACCCAAAACCCCAAGCACCCTAAACCCCTAAACCCTGAACCCGAAGCTTCTAAACCCCTGAAGACTCGAACCCTGAGCCCCAAACCCTAAGCCCTGAGCACAAGAACCCTGAACCCCTCAACCAAGCGCCCCTTGGGAACAGCAGGGTTTAGGGTTTAGGGTTTAGGGATGTTTCAGGGGATCGTGTTCAGTTTACAAGCCCGCAAGCCAATGTTGTTCATGATTGGAAAAGGGGCTTCGGAGTATGTCATAGTACAGTTCTTCATTGACGATGTTGTGACAGTTTTTTGTTGAAGATCTCACTTTTCGACGACCCCCTGAAATCCAGCTTTCTGGCAAGGCCCCTGTGCAAGTCCAGGAGAACCTCTTTGCGCGCGCTCCCAGCCTGTCGACGACGTGCACCACCCTTCCACAGGTTGGGGCTAGGGTTGCGGATTTTGGGTGTGGGGTTTAGGGTTGAGGTCTCATAGGTTTTGGAGCTGCAGGCTTCAGGGCGTACTACTCCGGGTTGAGCCTTTTTTGTGGGTTCTGGGATAAAGATTCTAAGAAGGACTCCAGACGGGTATTGCCGGGTTCAGGGTCAGCGTCTGGACGGTGCTGCAGGATCCGGAGCCCTAAACCCTAAACCCTAAACCCCTAAACCCCTAAACCCCTAAACCCCTAAACCCCCAAACCCCTAAACCTAAACCCTAAACCGGAAGGATTAAGTCAGTAAGGCTCTCCCTCGA